CTGTACCGTTTTGGGAAGCTTCGACGTTGTAGTTTATTTTATCATACCCAAAATAGGATGTTCCCTAATTCCTAATAAGCAATCCTACTTTCTTGACTGGCTCATATCTAATATTCAACACTTTGTAAATTTCTTCTCCTTCGCTGGTAAATCTGGGAGACTAGAAATAATTTTGGCATTCCTAATTTTCTTCGAGAGGCCAAGTTTCTTGACGATGCCATTTGCTGACTTGGGGCATAGTTTGGCTGCAGATTGTATTTGGGTCCGTGATAGTTTCCCAATGAGGAAGGAGCCTGTAGGTCAACTTGGTTCAAGAACGGACCTAGGCTCCAGCCTTTGAGAGATTTTTCAGTTTGATCGAAATACGAAACAATACGTCACATGTCATTATAATTGGAGTGTAGGTTTTTTTTTTTCAAGTGTCCTTTTAATTGTATAGTGACACTTTGTGTACCACCTAAAGCGATATTCAAAATGTAGCCGTTAGTGTATTTTTGTTTTAAATTCCCAGCTAGCACGTTCCTGAAGTCCCACCCTTCCCCCATCCCTCCCCCATTAGTAATTAGGGACCGTATACTAATTTTTTCTATATATATTATGATTAGAGGTTGAAAATGTATATATATTTATTCCTCTGCAGGTTTATAAGTGACCTGGCAAATGACGGTTTCCAATTACCACCAAATATCTCCAACAGTGCCAATTTCATTTCTCTGTGAGTGGTTAGTTGTAATAATTGCTTCTAGCCCAGTTTGTGCCCAATGGCTTCATTTTTCATTCTTCACGTTGGTTTTCTACAGAACACTGAGGAACTGCTCAATCAACGGCACAATCCCCAAATACATTGGTGAAAATATGACATCCCTAAGATACCTGTAATTTCACTTCACTTTTGTAATTTTGTTTTTGGAGTTGTCCTGTTAATTTGGCTGGAAAGAAAATTGAATCAGTTTTAGGGCTTGTTTAATACTCATGAGCGCTTATGCTAGAAGTGGTTTCATTAAAAAAGCTTTAGTTTTTTATTATTAAAAGTTCAAGTGATTTCTTGTAAAAGCATTTGGAAGTGTTTCTTGAAAAAAACATATGACGTGCACTATTTTTTTTCAGAACACACTTAACTTCATCATCGTGATTTTGTGGTAAACATATGACGTGCACTATTTATTATTAAAAGTTCAAGTGATTTCGTGGTAAACATATTACTTTTTGTGACAAACGCAGTCATAAATGGTTTTTTAACTACTAGAAAGTACTTTTAGCCATTATTGAAGTAATCTCCTACAAACCCTTAACCTCATCATTGGACTATTAATTAAGCACCGTTTGATATATCTTTCAATTTTTTTATTTCACAATATATAGCCAATTACACGGAACCAGAGTTGAGTTTATTTTTAATACCATTGTTGATCAAAACTCCCTTAATGTTAATCCTCCTTGTGTTTTGTCTTTCAGAGACTTGAGCTTCAATAAGTTAACTGGTGGCCTCCCTCAGAATATGAGTACAAATATGATTGACATGTAAAGGAATAACATTCTTAATTGGAAGAATTTAGATTAATTACAGGTCTGATTCTTGTTAATTACATGCGTTAATATGATATATACGCTTAATTATGTTCAGGTCTTTTTCTGGTAATATGCTTGACGGGACAATCCCACCTTGGATACATGTGTACTCCCAAACTAGGATGTATGTCTTCATATTTTGAACTGAAGTTAGAAGAACTTTCATTTGTAACAGCTTTAAGTTTTTGCTCATATGTACAAATTAATTAATGAGACTGATGCATGTTATGTTATCTTTTAGAGATCTTTCGTTCAACAATTTTTCAGCAATAGGCTCTCCAGTACCAAGCAACCAACAACTGTGAGGATATGTTCTTTCTTGTCCTTAATGTTTCTGTTGACGAAATTGAAGGGTTCCACTTCCACATTCCACTACTAATTGCACCGAGGCATTTTGTTCAAAACTCCACAATTATTGTTGCACATCACTTAAGTTGGGGATAGTATCAATTATAAAATATTTTGTTTCATGACCTTAACATTTATTCAGGAACTGGTTTGCATGCTGCCGCAACTCCTCAACCAATCAGCCAGTAATGTAAGTTTTTTTCCTGTTTTATTAGTAAGAGACTCAATCATCAGAACCTTCTATAACATATTGGTAACTACTTTTAGGATGGAGAACAGATACTGTCCTGAAAACAATCCAAAGTGTAAGTTTATTCTTCGCAGCTTGGAAATTACAAACTAAGGCCTCGTTTGGCAGCTCAAACTGTACTAACTGTTTTAGTCAAATATGATCGAATAGTACTGACTAAATTAATCGGATGTTTGGTGCAGTATTAGACTAATGACTTATAAATAATACGGCCTTTGGTACTGTCCCAAATAAAGAGTTCGAACTATTATTAATTTTATTAATGAGAAAAAAAAGGACAAAAAGAAAACCCAAATTTGTGATGAAATATTCTCCCCCCAAATTATTTTTTTTTTCTTTTAAACTTTCTTATTAATATATTTAAAAACAATTAAAAAACAGAAAGAAAAAATTCAGCGCCCTTGTCCACCCCACACCCCAACAAACACCATCGCGACACCACCCTCATTCAAATCCGGCGACAAACACCATACCCATACCCACCCCCACCCTTAGTCAATTCGTGAACACTTCAATTGCTGAACACGGCTTCTCGCCACCGCATCTTCCCCAACCCAGCAAACCGAACATAGTTGCTCACAATTTTCCATTTCCAAATCGAAAGAAGTTCTAAACACAAAAAGCTGGGTAAGTCTGTAAAATCATTTTCTGGAGGACGAAACGAAGCCGATGCAAAGATAGAGAACCTACTTCATCATCACTTTCACCATCCTCCTCAAATATGTAATTAGGGCATCAATTCGTCGATGGTGCGGTCGTCGGCGAGGCATCGATTGGTCTTCAGCAATGCCTTGTGGTTCGCCAAGGACACGGTGTCAAGAGTTGGTGGTGGGTGCGGTGGATCGAGGGGACGGAGAGAGCGAGCAAATTCCTACCCGACTAAATAATAAAGAGGGTTTAGAGTGTATTAGTTATACAGCGTGAGCAGTATATAATAGGTAAGGCATGATAATTAATCCGGAGTCTATTTAATATGAACTGCACCAAACAACCGGATTCTTATAATTAGTCCTATTCAGTACTTTATACGGTGTGCCAAACAAGGTCTTAAATGTTGCAGAATATATTATGATATATGTTAATTTTTTCTTGCAGACCATTCCTTGTTTATTAATTGTGGTGGTGAAGAAACACGTGTTGATGGGAATAAATATGATCAAGATAATGACACATCCCTCTTTTACACAAGTCCAAAGGAAAACTGGGCTTACAGCCTTTCCGGAGGCTATGGTGTACGAGAAAGTAATACTAGTAATTACATCAAGAGCATGACTGGAGTTCCCATTTCCGGAGGCTATGAGGCACCGTTGTATGAAAAAGCTCGGCTTTCCCCGGTATCTCTCAAGTATTATGCTTTTTGTCTGCGCAAAGGCAATTATACTGTGACGCTTTATTTCAATGAAGTTGTATACACTAAGAATGAAGACTATACTAGTTTAAGGAAACGCGTATTTGATGTATATATTCAGGTAACAGTTCATTTTTTGGTCATGATCACAATCACATCATTCTACTTTTATTTATTGGATCATCTTATTTTAAGTAAATTGTGTTGCAGGATGTGAGGAGACTAAATTATGTCAACATTAGAGAGAAGAACGGAAGTGAACCAATAACTGAAAATATTTCGGCTGTGGTTGTAAATGATAGCGGTCTATTGAGCATCCACTTTTACTGGCCTGGAAAGGGATCGGATCAATACCAGCCTAGTTTTAATGGACCTCTAATATCAGCTATTTCTGTGACTCCTAGTAATACTTTATTCCGTGATTCGATTTCTTTTTAATTTATTTTGTTCAAATTAACACCCATGTAATATTATACTTTTCCCACTAATTTCAGAGTTCAACATTAGTCCCGAAGAAAGTCATGGTCAACGGGATGCATTGATTACGCTTGCTTCAATTGTTGCTGCTCTGCCGCTTTCATTGGCTTTTGCTTGGAGGATGGGCTGGCTGCCAAGTCCAGAGTCCCCAAGTAAGTCTATAATCTGAATGCTGAACTACAATTAAATACGGTATTATGCTCTGCAATACGAAAATATGTCATCCTTGATCGATACATCAAAACGAAAAGAACTAAAGTTATCTGATTTCTTTTTTGGAAAACTAACTAAAGTTGTCTGATAGATATATGTTCTTGATGCATTTTTTCTCTGAACATAAATAGAAACAGATCTAGACAAAAAAGTTGATGAGCATCCAGACAGTGAAAAGCAACCCAGTAAGTGTATAAGTTGAATGCTAAGCTACAATTAAATACTACACTATACTCTGCAATACGAGAATATGCCCTCCTTGATCGATACACCAAAACGAAAAGAATTAAAGTTGTTTGATTTTTTTTGGGAAACAAACTAAAGTTGTCTAATTGATATATGTTCTTGATGCATTTTTTTCTCGGAACAGAAACCGAAACAGGTCCAGAACCAAAAGGTGATCAGCATCACGACAGCGAAGAGCTCGATAGTAAGTGTATAAGCTGAATGATGAGCTACAATTAAATACTGCACCATACTCGCAATAAGAGAATATGCCCTCCTTGATCGATACACCAAAACGAAGAGAACTAAAGTTGCTTAATTTTTTTTTTTGGAAACTAACTAAAGTTATTTGATTGATATATGCTCTTGATGCATTTTTTTCTCGGAACAGAAACCGAAACAAGTCAAGACAAAAAAGGTGATGAGCATCAAGACAGCGAAGAGCTCCCCAGTAAGTGTATATGCTGAATGCTGAGCTACAATTAAATAATGCACTATGCTCTGCAATATGAGAATATGCCCTCCTTGACCGATACACCAAAACGAAAAGAAATAAAGTAGTCTGATTGATATATGTTCTTGATGCATTTATTTCTCTAAACATAAATCGAAATAGGTCAAGAAGAAAGAGGTGATGAGCATCAAGACAGCGAAGAGCTCCCCAGTAAGTCTATAAGTTGAATGCTAAGCTACAATTAAATACCGCACTATGCTCTGCAATACGAGAATATGCCTTCCTTGATGGATACACCAAAACGAAAAGAACTAAAGTTGTCTTATTTTTTTTTTTTTTTGGGAAACTAACAAAAGTTGTTTGATTGATATATGTTCTTGATGCATTTTTTTCTCTGAACATAAATCGAAATAGGTGATGAGCAGAGAAACACGAAAGGTCAAGAAGAAATAGGTGATGAGAAGAGAAACACGAAAGATCAAGGCAGGCGGAAGAACACAGAAACAAAGAGGAAGAAAAAGGAAAAAATAGGTGACGAGCTTCCATCCACCGTCAAAAAATTGGGTACGCTCGGATTGAGCTATGGATTTCCGTTGGGTATGTCAAGCGAAGAGCTCCCTAGTAAGTCAATAAGCTGAATACTGAGCTACAATTAAATACTGCACTATGCTCTGCAATACGAGAATATGCCCCCTTGATCGATACACCAAAACGAAAAGAATTAAAGTTGTTTGATTTTTTTGTTTGTTTTTGGGATACTAACTAAAGTTGTCTGATTGGTATATGTTCTTGATGCATTTTTTTTCTCTGAACATAAATCGAAATAGGTCAAGAAGAAATAGGTGATGAGCATCAAGACAGCGAAAAGCCCCTCAATAAGTCTATTAGTTGAATGCTGAACTATAATTAAATACAGCACTATGCTCTGCAAGACGAGAAAATGCCCTCCTTAATGGATACACCAAAACGAAAAGAACTAAAGTTGTCAGATTTTTTTTTGGGAAACTAACTAAAGTTGTCTGTTTGATAAATGTTCTTGATGCATTTTTTTCTCTGAACATAAATCGAAATAGGTCAAGAAGAAATAAGTCATGAGCATCAAGACATCAAAGAGCTACCCAGTAAGTCTATAAGCTTAATGCTAAGCTACAATTAAATACTGCACTATGCTCTACAATACAAGAATATGCCCCCTTGATGGATCAACAAAATGAAAAGCACTAAAGTTGTCTGAATTTTTTTTTTTGGGAAACTAACTAAAGTTGTCTTATTGATATATGTTCTTGATGCATTTTTTTCTCTGAACAAAAATGGAAATAGGTCAAGAAGAAGTAGGTGATGAGCAGAGAAACACGAAAGGTCAAGAAGAAATAGATGATGAGCAGAGAAACACGAAAGATCTAGGCATGCAGAAGAAAACAGAAACAAAGAGGAAGAAAAAGGGAAAAATAGGTGATGAGCATCCAGACACCATAAAAAAATTGGGTATGATCGGATTGAGCTATGGATTTTCGTTAGGTATGTCAAGCGAAGAGCTCCCCAGTATATCTATAAGCTGAATGCTGAGCTACAATTAAATACTACACTATGCTCTGCAATACGAGAATATGCCCTCCTTGATCGATACACCAAAACGAAAAGAACTAAAGTTGTCTGATTTTTTTTTTTTGGATACTAACTAATGTTGTATGATTGATATATGTTCTTGATGCATTTTTTTTCTCTGAACATAAATCCAAATAGGTCAAGAAGAAATAGGTGATGAGCATCAAGATAGCGAAGAGCCCCTCAGTAAGTCTATAAGCTGAATGCTGAACTATAATTAAATACTGCACTATGCTCTGCAATACGAGAATATGCCCTCCTTGATGGATACACCAAAACGAAAAGAACTAAAGTTGTCAGATTTTTTTTTTGGGAAACTAACTAAAGTTGTCTGTTTGATAAATGTTCTTGATGCATTTTTTTCTCTGAACATAAATCGAAATAGGTCAAGAAGAAATAGGTCATGAGCATCAAGACAGCAAAGAGCTACCCAGTAAGTCTATAAGCTTAATGCTAAGCTACAATTAAATACTGCACTATGCTCTACAATATGAGAATATGCCCCCTTGATGGATACACCAAAATGAAAAGCACTAAAGTTGTCTGAAATTTTTTTTTTTTTTGGGAAACTAACTAAAGTTGTCTTATTGATATATGTTCTTGATGCATTGTTTTCTCTGAACAAAAATGGAAATAGGTCAAGAAGAAGTAGGTGATGAGCAGAGAAACACAAAAGGTCAAGAAGAAATAGATGATGAGCAGAGAAACACGAAAGATCTAGGCATGCAGAAGAACAGAGAAACAAAGAGGAAGAAAAAGGAAAAAATAGGTGATGAGCATCCAGACACCGTAAAACAATTGGGTATGATCGGATTGAGCTATGGATTTTCGTTAGGTATGTCAAGCGAAGAGCTCCCCAGTAAGTCTATAAGCTGAATGCTGAGCTACAATTAAATACTGCACTATACTCTGCAATACGAGAATATGCCCTCCTTGATCGATACACCAAAACGAAAAGAACTAAAGTTGTCTGATTTTTTTTTTTGGGAAACTAACTAATGTTGTATGATTGATATATGTTCTTGATGCATTTTTTTTCTCTGAACATAAATCGAAATAGGTCAAGAAGAAATAGGTGATGAGCATCAAGATAGCGAAGAGCTCCCGAGTAAGTCTATAAGCTGAATGCTGAGCTACAATTAAATACTGCACTATGCTCTACAATACGAGAATATGCCACCCTTTATGCATACACCAAAATGAAAAGAACTAAAGCTGTCTGATTTTTTTGTGTTTTGGGAAACTAACTATTGTCAGATTGATATATGTTCTTGATGCATTGTTTTCTCTGAACGTAAATCGAAATAGGTCAAGAAGAAATAGGTGATGAGCAGAGAAACACGAAAGGTCAAGAAGAAATAGGTGATGAGCAGAGAAACACGAAAGATCAAGGCAGGCGGAAGAACACAGAAACAAAGAAGAAGAAAAAGGAAAAAATAGGTGATGAGAATCCGGACACTGTCAAAAAATTGGGTATGTTCGGATTGAACTATGGATTTCCGTTGGATATGTCTAGCGAAGAGTTCCCAAGTAAGTTTATAAGCTGAATATTGAGCTACAATTAAATACTGCACTATACTCTGCAATACAAGAATATGCCCCCTTGATGGATACTCCAAAACGAAAATAACTACAGTTGTCAGATTTTTTTAATTTTTATTTTATTGGGAAACTAACTAAAGTTGTCTGATTGATATATGTTCTTAATGCATTTTTTTTTATGAACATAAATCGAAATAGGTCAAGAAGAAATAGGTGATGAGCATCAAGACAGCGAAGAGCTTTCCAGTAAGTCTATAAGTTGAATGCTGAGCTACAATTAAATACTACACTATACTCTGCAATACAAGAATATGCCCTCTTTGATGGATACACCAAAACGAAAAGAACTAAAGTTGTCTAATTTTTTTATTTTTTATTTTTTTGGGAAACGAGCTAAAGTTGTCTGATTGATATATGTTCTTGATGCAATTTTTTCTCTGAACATAAATTGAAATAGGTGATGAGCATCAAGACAACGAAGTGCTCCCCAGTAAGTCTATAAGCTGAATGCTAAGCTACAATTAAATATTGCACTATGCTCTGCAATACGCGAATATGCCCCCTTGATGGATATAGACCAAAATGAAAAGCACTAAAGTTATCTGATTTTTTTTTTTGGGAAAATAACTAAACTTATTTTATTGATAATTGTTCTTGATGCATTTTTTTCTCCGAACATAAATTGAAATAGGTCAAGAAGAAATAGGTCATGAGCACCAAGACAGCGAAAAGCTCCCCAGTAAGTCTATATGCTGAATGTTGAGCTACAATTAAATACTGCACCATGCTCTGCAATATGAGAATATGTCTTCCTTAATGGATACACCAAAACGGAAAGAACTAAAGTTGTCTGATTTTTTTTTTTTGGGAAACTAACTAAAGTTGTTTGATTGATATATGTTCTTGATGCATTTTTTTCTCTGAACATAAATCGAAATAGGTCAAGAAGAAATAGGTGACGAGCAGAGAAACACGAAAGGTCAAGAAGATATAGGTGATGAGAAGAGAAACACGAAAGATCAAGGCAGGCGGAAGAACACAGAAACAAAGAGGAAGAAAAAGGAAAAACTAGGTGACGAGCTTCCATACACCCTCAAAAACTTGGGTACGCTCGGATTGAGCTATGGATTTTCGTTGGGTATGTCAAGCAAAGAGCTCCCTAATAAGTCTATAAGCTGAATACTGAGCTACAATTAAATATTGCACTATGCTCTGCAATACGAGAATATGCCCCCTTGATCGATACACCAAAACGAAAAGAACTAAAGTTGTGTGATTTTTTTGTTTGTTTTTGGGATACTAACTAAAGTTGTCTGATTGATATACGTTCTTGATGCATTTTTTTTCTTTGAACATAAATCGAAATAGGTCAAGAAGTAATAGGTGATGAGCATCAAGACAGCGAAGAGCTCCTCAGTAAGTCTATAATCTGAATGCTGAGCTATAATTAAATACTCTACTATGCTCAGCAATACGAGAATATGCCCTCCTTGATGGATACACCAAAACGAAAAGAACTAAAGTTGTCTGATTTTTTTGGGAAACTAACTAAAGTTGTCTGATTGATAAATGTTCTTGATGCATTTTTTTCCCTGAACATAAATCGAAATAGGTCAAGAAGAAATAGGCCATGAGCATCAAGACAGCGAAGAGCTACCCAGTAAGTCTATAAGCTGAATACTAATGGATACACCAAAACAAAAAGCACTAAAGTTGTCTGAATTATTTTTTTTGGGAAACTAACAAAAGTTGTCTTATTGATATATGTTCTTGACGCATTTTTTTCTCTGAACAAAAATCGAAATAGGTAAAGAAGAAGTAGGTGATGAGCAGAGAAACACGAAAGGTCAAGAAGAAATAGGTGATGAGCAGAGAAACACGAAAGCTCAAGGCAGGCAGAAGAACACAGAAACAAAGAGCAAGAAAAAGGAAAAAATAGGTGTTGAGCATCCAAACACCGTAAAAACATTGGGTATGCTCGGATTGAGCTATGGATTTTCGTTAGGTATGTCGAGCGAAGTGCTCCCCAATAAGTCTATAAGCTGAATGCTAAGCTACAATTAAATACTGCACTATGCTCCACAATATGAGAATATGCCATCCTTGATCGATACACCAAAACGAAAAGAACTAAAGTTGTCTGATTTTTTTTTTTTGGATACTAACTAAAGTTGTATGATTGATATATGTTCTTGATGCATTTTTTTTCTCTGAACATAAATCGAAATAGGTCAAGAAGAAATAGGTGATGAGCATCAAGATAGCGAAGAGCTCCCGAGTAAGTCTATCAGCTGAATGCTGAGCTACAATTAAATACTGCACTATGCTCTACAATACGAGAATATGTCACCCTTTATGGATACACCAAAACGAAAAGAACTAAAGCTGTCTGATATTTTTTTTTTTTTGGGAAACTAACTAAAGTTGTTAGATTGATATATGTTCTTGATGCATTGTTTTCTCTGAACATAAATCAAAATAGGTCAAGAAGAAATAGGTGATGAGCAAAGAAACATGAAAGGTCAAGAAGAAATAGGTGATGAGCAGAGAAACACGAAAGATCAAGGCAGGCGGAAGAACACAGAAACAAAGAAGAAGAAAAAGGAAAAAATAGGTGATGAGAATCCGGACATTGTAAAAAAATTGGGTATGTTCGGATTGAGCTATGGATTTCCGTTGGATATGTCAAGCGAAGAGCTCCCCAGTAAGTCTATAAGCTGAATGTTAAGCTACAATTAAATGCTGCATTATACTCTGCAATACAAGAATATGCCCTTCTTGATGGATACTCCAAAACGAAAATAACTACAGTTGTCTGATTTTTTTATTTTTTATTTTTTTGGGAAACTAACTAAAGTTGTCTTATTGATATATGTTTTTGATGCATTTTTTTCTCTGAACATAAATCGAAATAGGTCAAGAAGAAATAGGTGATGAGCAGAGAAACACGAAAGGTCAAGAAGAAATAGGTGATGAGCAGAGAAACACTAAAGATCAAGGCAGGCAGAAGAACACAGAAACAACGAGGAAGAAAAAGGAAAAAATAGGTGATGGGAATCCGAACACCGTAAAAAAATTAGGTATGTTCGGATTGAGCTATGGATTTCCGTCGGATATGTCAAGCGAAGAGCTCCCCAGTAAGTCTATAAGCTGAATGCCGAGCTACAATTAAATACTGCACTATGCTTTGCAATACGAGAATATGCCCTCCTTGATGGATACACCAAAATGAAAAGAACTAAAGTTGTCTGATTTTTTTTTTGGGAAACTAACAAAAGGTGTCCGACTGATATATGTTCTTGATGCATTTTTTTCTCCGATCATAAATCAAAATAGGTCAAGAAGAAATAGGTGATGAGCATCAAGACAATGAAGAGCTTCCCAGTAAGTTTATAAGCTGAATGCTGAGCTACAATTAAATACTGCACTATGCTCTGCAACACAAGAATATGCCTTCCTCGATGGATACACCAAAACGAAAAGAACTAAATCTATCTGATTTTTTATTTTTTTGGGTAACTAACGAAAGTTATCTAATTGATATATGTTCTTGATGCATTTTTTTCTCTGAACATAAATCGAAATAGGTCAAGAAGAAATAGGTGATGAGCAGAGGAACACAAAAGGTCAAGAAGAAATAGATGATGAGCAAAGAAACACGAAAGATCAAGGCAGGCGGAAGAACACAGAAACAAACAGGAAGAAAAAAGAAAAAATAAGTGATGAGCATCCAAACGCCGTCAAAAAATTGGGTATGTTCGGATTGAGCTATGGATTTCCGTTGGGTATGTCAAGCAAAGAGCCCCCCAATAAGTATATAACTTGAATGCGGTGCTACAATTAAATACTGCATTATGCTCTGCAATATGAGAATATGCCCTCCTTGATTGATACACCAAAATGAAAAGAACTGAAGTTTTCTGATTGATATATGATCTTGATGCATTTTTTTTTCTTTGAACATAAATCGAAATAGGTCAAGAAGAAATAGTTGATGAGCATCAAGACAGCAAAGAGCTCCCTAGTAAGTCTATAAGCTGGATGCTAAGCTACAATTAAATACTGGACTATGCTCTGCAATACGGGAATATGCCTTCCTTGATGGATACACCAAAACGAAAAGAACTAAAGTTGTCTGATTTTTTTTTTTTGGGAAACTAAGTAAAGTTGTCTAATTGATATATGTTCTTGATGCATTTTTTTCTCTCAACATAAATCGAAATAGGTCAAGAAGAAACACGTGATGAGCAGAGAAACACGAAAGATGAAGGCGGGCGGAAGAACACTGAAACAAAGAGGAAGAAAAAGGAAAAAATGGGTGATAAGCATCCAGACAATGTCAAAAAATTGGGTATGTTCGGATTGAGCTATGGATTTCCGTTGGGTATGTCAAGCGAAGTGCTCCCTAGTAAGTCTATAAGCTGAATGCTGAGCTACAGTTAAATACTGCATCATGCTCTGCAATATGGGAATATGCCCTCCTTGATCGATACACCAAAACGAAAGAAGCTAAAGTTGTTTGATTTTTTTTTTTGTGGGAAACTAACTAAAGTTGTCTGATTGATATATGTTCTTGATGCATTTTTTTCTCTGAACATAAATCGAAATAGGTCAAGAAGAAATAGGTGATGAGCATCAAGACAACAAAGAGCTCCCCAGTAAGTCAATAAGCTGAATGCTGAGCTACAATTAAATACTGCACTATGCTCTGCTATACGAGATTATGCCTTCCTTGATGGATACACCAAAATGAAAAGAAATAAAGTGGTTTGATTTTTTTTTTTTGGAAACTAACTAATGTTGTCTGATTGATATATGTTCCTAATGCATTTTTTACTCTGAACATAAATTGAAATAGGTCAAGAAGAAATAGGCGATGAGCATCAAGACAGCGAAGAGCTCCCCAGTAAGTCTATTTGCTAAATGCTGAGCTACAATTTAATACTGCACTATGCTCTGCCCTCCTTGATGGATACACCAAAACGAAAATGACTAAAGTTGTCTGATTTTTTATTTTTGGGAAACTAACTAAAGTTGTCAGATTGATATATGTTCTTGATGCATTTTTTTCTCTGAACATAAATCGAAATAGGTCAAGAAGAAATAGGTGATGAGCAGAGAAAAACAATGGATGAAGGCAGGCGGAAGAACACAGAAACAAAGAGGAAGAAAAAGGAAAAAATAGGTGACGAGCATCCAGACACTTTAAAAAAATTGAGTATGTTCGGATTGAGCTATGGATTTCCGTTGGGTATGTCAAGCGAAGAGCCCCCTAGTAAGTCTATAAGCTGAATGCTGAGTTACAATTAAATACTGCACTATGCTTTGCAATACGAGAATAAGCCCTCCTTGATGGATACACCAAAACGAAAAGAACTAAAGTTGTCTGATTTTTTTTCTTTATATTTTTTATGGGAAACTAACTAAAGTTGTCTGATTGATATATGTCCTTGATGCATTTTTTTCTCTGAACATAAATCGAAATAGGTCAAGAAGAAATAGGCGATGAGCATCAAGACAGCCAAGAGCTCCCCAGTAAGTCTATAAGCTGAATGCTGAGCTATAATTCAATATTGCACTATGCTCTGCAATACGAGAATATGCCCTCCTTGATGGATACACCAAAACGAAAAGAACTAAAGTTGTTAGATTTTTATTTTTATTTTTTTTTTGGAAACTAACTAAAGTTGTCTGATTGATATATGTTCTTGATGCTTTTTTTTCTTTGAACATAAATCAAAATAGGTCAAGAAGAAATAGGTGATGAGCATCAAGACAGCAAAGAGCTCCTTAGTAAGTCTATAAGCTGAATGCTGAGCTACAATTAAATACTGCACTATGTTCTGCTATACGAGATTATGCCCTCCTTGATGGATACACCAAAATGAAAAGAAATAAAGTTGTCAATTTTTTTTTTTGGGAAACTAATTAAAGTTGTCTGATTGATATATGTTCTTAATGCATTTTTTTCTCTGAACATAATTTGAAATAGGTCAAGAAGAAATAGGCGTTGAGCATCAAGACAACGAAAAGCTCCCCAGTAAGTCTATTAGCTAAATGCTGAGCTACAATTAAATACTGCACTATGCTCTGCCCTCCTTGATGGATACACCAAAATGAAAAGGACTAAAGTTGTCTGTTTTTTTTTTTTTTTTGGGAAACTAACTAAAATTGTGTGATTGATATATGTTCTTGATGCATTTTTTTTTTTTTGAACATAAATCGAAATAGGTCAAGAAGAAATAGGTGATGAGCAGAGAAACACAATGGATGAAGGCAGGCGGAAGAACACAGAAACAAAGAGGAAGAAAAAGGAAAAAATAGGTGATGAGCATCCATACACTTTCAAAAAGTTGGGTATGTTCGGATTGAGCTATGGATTTCCGTTGGGTATGTCAAGCGAAGAGCTCCTTAGTAAGTCTATAAGCTGAATGCTGAGCTACAATTAAATAATGCACTATGTTCTGCAATATGAGAATAAGCCCTCCTTCATGGATACACCAAAATGAAAAGAACTAAAGTTGTCTGATTTCTTTTTTTATATTTTTTATGGGAAACTAACTAAAGTTCTCTGATTGATATATGTTCTTGATGCATTTTTTTCTCTAAACATAAATCGAAATAGGTCAAGATGAAATAGGCGATGAGCATCAAGACAGCAAAGAGCTCCCCAGTAAGTCTATAAGTTGAATGATGAGCTACAATTAAATACTGCACTATGCTCTGCAATACGAGAATATGCCCTCCTTGATGGATAGACCAAAACGAAAAGAACTAAAGTTGTCTGATTTTTTTTTTTTTTTGGGAAACTAAATAAAGTTGCTTGATTGATATATGTTCTTGATGCATTTTTTTATCTGAACATAAATCGAAATAGGTCAAGAAGAAATAAGTGATGAGCAGAGAAACACGAAAGGTCAAGAAGAAATAGGTGATGAGAGAAACACGAAAGATCAAGGCAGGCGGAAGAACATAGAAACAAGGAGGAAGAAAAAGGAAAAAATAGGTGATGAGCATCCAGACAACGTCAAAGAATTAATAAATGCTACCGAAAATTTTAGCGACAAAAAAAGACTTGGCCATTCTGAGACATTTTTTATGGTAAACTTTTGTACTTGTGTACATTCTATAATTTTGGTAATTTTTGTTTTTTATTCTATAACTTCTGTGTGGATGAAGGCACAACTGCCAAGTCATACCGTGGCCGTGAAGAAACTAGATTCCGCTCATTTTGAGGGAAAAATCGATAAACTGAAAGAGGAAATTGGCATCATAGAGTCATTGCAACACAACAATATCCTTAAACTGTTGCATTCTTATATTGGAAAAGACCTCCAATTTCTTGTTTACGAATACATGGAAAATAAATCCCTTGAAGACATCTTATTTGGTAACGTATTTTCTACTTCTTGTTTACTTGTACTGTGATGTTTATATTCTTTTTAAAACTATCATCAAAGACGAATACAACATATAACGTATTGAAGTGTATGCAACTGCAGGCTCGAGTACTTCTGGCACAATCAAGCTTGATTGGAATACAAGGGTTAACATTTGCTTGGGAATAGCACAGGGTTTGCAATATCTACATGAGAGAGTACAGATTGTTCATACGAATATAAAATCCGCTAATATTCTTCTTAATGAAAAACTTGAGGCTAAGATATCGGACTTTGGATTTGCAAATCTTTATTCCGAAGAAGATAAAGTTATGGCCATCGCAAGAGAAACAAAGAAGTAAACAAACTAGTAATTCACCTATTTTATATGAGGCAATTTTAAGTCTGTGTAAAAGTACATGATAATTTCTTATGCTACCTACAGAGGCTACACGGCGCCAGAGTATTTGCAAATGGATGATTTAGATAGCAAACTGGATGTTTTCAGCTTTGGGGTGGTCGTACTTGAAATTGTTAGTGGGGAGAGAAACGTACGTAACCAATCAAAGAAGGAAACTGAGGTTCTTTTAGACAGGGTAAGCAAGAATGACAAGATTGTGCTTCTATGCTTTCTTCTCTATATTTGATTATGCATTTTTAGGTATGATTACGTTTAAAGCTTGATGCTAACTATCGATCCTGTATACGCGCAGGCTTATAAAGCAAATAGAAACGGAAATTTGAAGAGCTTGGTTGATAAGAATTTGTCTACATATGATGAAAGAGAAGCCCTCATCATCTTGAAATTAGCATTGGAGTGCACCACGATGGGTGCTAGTGTCAGACCTGAAATGTCTGGAGTTGTGAGTGTTCTTCTTGGCGAAAAAAGCATTGACGAGGTTTGTTCACCTGCCAAGCCCACTGGCGACATCAATGTTGTTGGTTCCCTCGAAGAGTTGGCAGGCATTTCTGATATGGCTGCCAAGCCCACTGGCGACATCAATGTTGTTGGTTCCCTCGAAGAGTCGGCAGGCATTTCTGATATGGCAGAGTCTCTTTCCCCACTTTGGGGAAGTTGACTTCAGTAGCATCAACTTCGTCTCATTCAACCTAAGGCGCACATGATCATCGGAAAGTATTTCTAGATTGATTAAAAGTTTCATGCGATTAGCATTAGGCGTTCTTGAATTGCTACCGTTACTGGTGTGCTTTAATCTTTTCTGTGGTTTCTGTACTTTGCATCCTTTTGAACTTTGTGAACCCTTTCTTCCAGCAGAATGTCGTATCAAAACTTGGAAATTTGTTACAAATGCAGAGTTATTTCATTCACAAGTTATGACTCCACCAACCTTTACTTCTCCCGTTAAAAACTTTAACTAGGCAGCTTTGTGCATAATGTACAAATATCATCTTTTGCACGGATTCCGTACTGTTACAACAATCAACAATCTTATGTTCTAAGTCGAAAACAACCAAAAAATTATATAATTACAATCTTGTACGTGTTCTTTTGCACAGATTCCTTATTCGTGCAACAATAAACAATCTTCCTTATTCGTGAAAAAGAAAACTTTGGGTTTCTGTTATTAAAAAAAAGTATATTTATGCTTTTGTTATAAGGAAACGATAGCCGAGATATATTCATGATAAAAGGTCTTTACAAAGCCAATCAAGGCAAAGGAGTGTCCTCAAGGAGAACATCCAACAGAAGCCCCGAAGCGAAACACTCCAGATACAATCTTGATTAACTGACGGCGTGGTGCCTATGTGGTGGTCGGAAGAGGTGAGGTAGGATGCCCAGAATTTTTTTTTAATTTTAAAATTTTTTAATATTCACGTGAGCCCATATTGACACATGATATCCAATCATTATCTACGTGAGCGCCACGTCATCAGTTAATAGAGGTTCTGATGGAAAACTTAACAGATGTATAAAAGTGTCACATAATTATAACTTTAGGTACTAGACTTGGACGAAAAAAAATTCATACACCAAAAGTTGAAAATCAAGAAATTTCAAAGTAGTAAACTGAGATTAATAAAAAAATTTAACGACTTGTACATAAAAATTTATCCCAACGCCTCTCCACCATTCTATTTATCCAGATTTCGGAGAGCAACTATCAACCGTTAGTGGGATAAGGATTACTCAACGTCCAAGATATTTTCTGAAAACAAAATAACTAAAAAAAATTGAAAGTTAAAATGAAAAAAACTTGTTTAATACCAATAATTCGTTAAATAAGATAATTTTAATTATTAAAAATAATTATTATATAATTTTAACTATGTATTTCCAGTAATAAATAGAATTCATGGATTCATCGGGTGAAAAGGTAAAAGGCAAAATTGGGTTGGAGGAAATTAGGGAACACAATTAGGAGTCCACGACAGACAAACAACGATTGGAATCTGTACGTCCAACCAAGGTGGAGAGCAGCGGAGAGCCTCCTCCAGCCAGGGGCGGATCTACAGAGGGACTCGGGTGGTCCCGGGACCCTCCAAAGTTCTGGAGAAAGGCTTGAGAGGACCTCCGAGGACCCCCCGATAATCTGGGCAGTTTGTGCTAGCTGGGTTTATATGCACAATCGACGGTCCAGTGGTTGCAGCTTGCGGAGAAGACGAGTCCTCCTGTTTTCTCTGTTTCTCTTTTTACCTAACACGTTGTCGTTTTTAAAATCTTGACTTTAATAAAACGGTGCGTTGCGAAAGGTTGCGTAATTGTTTGCTTTCCCTTTTTTTTTAGATTTGATCTTTTTTTCTCTTTTTTTGGGTCAGATTTTTTCTCTTCTAAAACTAAAACCCCACAAACTCCAACATATCTTTACTGTTATATATAATACCCGTGCCCTGATAATTTTATTTTATCCTAAAACCAAAGCAACTCATCTAAACACTACATTAATAAAATCCTATTTGTCGATCAAAAGAAAGTGAAAAGATATATTCTATCACAAAACAAAATCATGGGTAGTAAAGTAAATTCACATAAACTAAATTTTACAGTTTTTTTTCAAAACCTCACCCAAAGATGAACTGCCGTGGGGCATATACTAGTATTAATTATAAAAACACTTATTAAGGGCAGTTAGATAACCATCTTATTTTTAGTTTTTATTTTTGAGAATTTTAACGAAAAGCACCCGGTACTGTTCACTTTAACGAAAAACCACATTTTTACACTAAAAAGTCAATCCTGGTACTATTCACTTTACCTTTTATTTTGTCCTTATCATTAAAACTCAAAGTTTTCAAACCCTTTTCATTAATTTTCCTTTTATTTTTTTCACTTTTTTAATTTTGTTTTACTTTTTTTCTCTACCATAGGATTAAAATCAAACGATGAGTGAATGTGATTTTCTTGAACCCTATAGTCTAGGAGAACAAGACTCGTGTTGTTTGTACCAACATTTATAAATGACAGTGATGGTTTAATGTTTCAATGTTGTTTTCATCTAATTCTTTTTTTTTTTACATTTACTTTAGGACCACCCGAGGTTAATATCCTGGATTCGCCATTGCCTCCAGCCTTCTTCTGACGGCGCCGAGGCTTTCTCCTCAGCCACCGCCGCAACAGCTGCAGCATCATCAGGATAAACGACCCCATCGCAGCCAAAGCGCCAACAGCAACAAGATGAAGGGATTATTCAAGTCCAAGCCCCGAACCCCCGCCGACATCGTTCGTCAGACCCGGGATTTACTTGTCTATGCCCAGCGCGCTCCCGATTCTCGCAAAAGTAAACGCGAGGAAAAGGTATCTATTTTCCATCTATTAAAGCAATCGATCCAATTCAATACGATCTGATTGAAATTTTGATCCGGGTTCTCCCTTGTTTCTATATTCTATTCTGTAAAAACTTGGGAATTTGGGATTGTTCATGTTTTTTTTTAAGGAAAACTAATGAAAATGGCTTGAAAACTTTGAGTTTTAATGATAAGGACAAAATAAAGGGTAAAATAAATAGTACCAGGATTGACTTTTTAGTGTAAAAATGTGGTTTTTCGTTAAAGTGAACAGTACCGGGTGCTTTTCGTTAAAGTTCCCTTTTTTTATGACCAAAATTGTTTGGGATTGGTTGATGATCAAAGTTTATATTTTCAAACTTTACTTTTCACTTTGATATTGTCGGCCATGAAAAAAAACTCATCATTATGTTTTCTCAATATCATTATATATCTAAATATTTTATTAGTATTATTTTATGATATTTGTTAACATGTGGCCTAGAGTATTGTGACTGTCATTAAATTATGTCACTTATACAACATGTGATTTACCACACGACCGAATAAATTATTTATTTATAGAAGGCACATGGTACAATATTTTGCCTTGACAAATTTTGTCAATTTGATTTATTCATTATACGGTCATACTTATATTGTCATTTATTGTCATGAATTATGGAGCAACTAGATCCACTGATCAACATTGTTGCTGATTAAAAGAGCCCAATATGCGAACCCGACAAGCAGACCCGAATTATGCCGAGAATCAACTCATAATGAGTGCATGTCGACATAAAGTAGATACTTGCAATGAGGAATACCACGAGCCGAGCGAGCATAGCCTCTAGCCAAGCAGCCTCGTAACGAGCATCGCCTCCAGCCGAGCAACCGTCTCACCGTGAGCATAGTCTCTAGCCAAGCAGCCTCGCAACGAGCATCGCCTCCAGCCAAGCAGTCTCATAACTTGTGATACATCTAGCCGAGTATTGCTTTATGTTGAGCATTGCCTTGTGTTGAGTACTGGTTCAAGACATCTAGCCACTTCAGCCCGTACATAGATTGGATTTGAAGTCTCCAACCAAAAGACTCTCTTGACTGAAGACTTGGGGGACTCCTATTGGTACCATATATTGGGCCTCGTCTTTGGGCCTCATCCCTAAGCCCACAACAAATGTAAAAGGGGAGGGAGCCCTTATTCTATAAAAGGGACTTTCCCTTACCCTCATTGGGGGACTCACATTCAAGGACTCACATCCAAAAGATCAAAATAGTCTCATACTCAACCCTCACAACAAATGGAGGGCAATACCCTCCTAGCAGTTCTGTAGGTATGACTCTGCTTGGTTAATCCGCGTTGGGGAGTTACTACTTACTTGGTTATCTTGACCCTGCTTGGTTAATCCGCGTTGGGGGGTCACTAATGGTCCTGCTTGGTATATCCGTGTTGGGGGACCATATGCATTCTAGAAGTGAGGAGGATTATTTATACTTGGTACATTTGATGGGGGAATCATATGCTTGTTTGGATTTCGTTGAGTGATGGTTCAGAATCCCTTCTATTTTGCGATTCCGTTGAGTGATGGTCCGAAATCGTATCCAACTTGTATTTCATCGAATGGTTCGGTTCTATATGCATGGTACTCCGAGATTCCGTTGAGTGGTCCGGAATCCCTTTGGTGTCTTGGTCCTTTGGATTTGTTTTCAGCTTCAGAGATGTAGTCTTCAGCCGAACTGTGTCGCTCTAGCCCTACTTTTCATAGTGTTGTATGAGATACTTTTCATAGTGTTGTATGAGATTATGATTATGAGCTGTTGTGATTTGTTTCAGACGAACCGTTAGATGTCTGGGTGACTCCTTCGGAGTTGTTAGAATTCCTTGGTTAAATTTATGAAATGATATGTTACTGCATTCATTGATTAAACAGTTAAATGTTAAGATCATGTATCTTTGATTCATGATTAATTAATTGATGTGATTGTGGAATGACGTTGGGTGTGATTGAGATTATTATGATTAGAGTAATTGATTAATGTGACTTAAGCATAATGTTGTGCTTCGTTGGTTCTTTGATATGTTACATACTATGATTTGCGGTATTCTGTGAAACAAAGTGATTTATATGATGGATGAATTGGAAAGTATCTGTGTGAGAATGGGTTACATGCGTGTATAAAAGATGATAATTGTTGTTTGACGTAAGGTTGATGTGTAATATAGTGCATTATGATTTTCTATTAGAAGTATTTTACGGAAAGATTAGAGTTGACGATTGGTGAACTATGAATGGCTTGATCCCTGTTGAGGATACGTAGGCAGTCTAACGAGGAGGTTAGATGCAGCCATAAAGTATAAGAAAAATGATCACGAAATTTGAATCTTGAGTTGTGCATTGTCCATATTCCGGAGGCGGGTATGTGAGCGATACGAGTATTTGATAATGTCATGTGTCGATCCTAGACGTATGTCGGGATAGGGGCGTGACAACTTTAATCGTATCAGAGCAAATGATCCTACTATATGATATGCAACCTTCTCAAGTCTTGTTGGCGTAAATTACGATATGCATTGTGGTTGCATGATTTCATAAATTTTCTGGGCATAA